GGAAGGGGAAGGGGAAGGGGAAGGGGAAGGGGAAGGGGAAAAGGAAAGGGAAGGCAGCCCCAGAGCCAGCTGCCCCACAGAGACGGCAGGCTGCTGGCCACCGCATGATTAATGACAGTGGGGAGTGCGGGGCCGAGCGCACGCCAGCACCGGCTGGAGAAAAAGCTGCCCAGGTACCGGACCTCCCAAAATCCTGCTGCTGCGCAGACAAAGAGGAGACTCGGTCTCTCCCTCCTGCTTGCTCCCTCCACCTTGGCCCCCCACTCCTGCCTGCTCTGCCTCCGCTCCCAGCCCCACTGGGCCATGCTTGCAGGGACAGGGCTCTGCATGGAGGTCTTGAGAGCCCTGGGCATGCAAAGGGACCATCCCTTGGCTGAGCTGTCAGCGGGACTGGGGAGCCCCGAGAAACCACAGTTGCACCAGAGCAAAGCACTGTGCAGGGCTGGGTCTGCTCAGGGGAAAAAAAAGGCTGAGATGGAAAAGCTGACATGAATCATTTTGGCTTTCTGATGTTGCTACGAATGCTTCACTTGGGCATTGTAAAACACCCATCTTCCCTTCGAGGCTGGGATTAGCCAGGCTCCCTTTCCACACTGTGTTGCAGCAGTACTTCCTTGCTGTCCCCGTCCCCTGCACCATCCCTGCTATAGCCGGAGGACACTTGATCACCCCAAGCTCAGTGGGAAGAGACGTTCAGTGGGTCAGTGAGGAGTAGCTCAATACACAGATATTAAATAACACCCCCAGCACATCAGGATGCTTGACGCGTGAGCAGCCCAGCCACCAGCAGACGCTGTGCGCTCTCCAAGGGGACAATCCAACCTGCAGTCGAACCAAGCATGGCCAGAGACTGTCTGTCCCCCTCTCTAGTGTGTCCGTCTCCCCACTTACCAGCACCTTCCCCATGCTTGCTCAGTGCTACGCAGCCACCCCTTCCTGCAGCAAGAAGACGGGAGATGCAGCTCCTTCCTTGCACTCTTCAATGCCACTGACATATCTATAATTGATCTCAGAGAAACCCCAGCTCTGCTCAGAGTGTGCCAATACTATCAAAACCATATGTGGGCCAGGACACGGGGGAGAAGAGTCAGTTTGCCAAATGCCATGGTTTGCTCTGTGCATGGTACAGCCACAGGTGCCCATTAAACATGCAGCTCTCGGGTCCCCATCTCTCTCCCAATAAGCCCAGCAGCTCCTTTCTCTCCCTCCCCAATGCCAGACATGACTGGGGAGGAGCACTGAGATGAGTTTTGGCACAGTGCTTTCAGGGAGGGTGGTGCAGAGCCTCTCGCTTGCCTGGGATCATGCTGGCTCCATGGTGCTCAGCTGAGCTGAGCAGGTGCTCCTGGAGTCTGCTTTGAACATCTACAGGGGCAGAAGAACATCTACAGGGCAGGAGACCTCTGGCTGCTGAGGGAGCTCAGGGGCCAGGCTCCGAGGTGCCCAAGCTGGAGAGGTGAGCCTGGCCCTGAACAGCCTGTGACCATGTCCCACCCTGGGCCATTTGCACCTCACCATGAAAATGCTGCAGACAACTTGCTCCCTCCCACTGCATCACCTTTGGGTGCCTGCACTCCCGCTCCCCTCACCCCAGAAGCATTTCAGCCCATGCCAAGGCACAAGGCGCAAACCAAAGCGAAAACAGGCCCAGTATTTTGGGAGGTGACTGCAGATCAGTGGCACGCACCACAGCTACACACATGTGTGTCCCTCCAAGACCTGGAGAGCATGGAGGGCACCAGCAACAGGCCAGCACCCCTGTACCTGGTGGCTCTGAGGACCTGGAGGTAATGCAGAAACTCTGCAATGGATGGATGAGCCTGGGGCAGGAACTGAGGAGCTGGGGAAGAAGTTAGCGTCCACACACACGCTCCGCTCCCACATCCCCGCGTGCTCCTCTCCCACCCCTGCCCAAGGAGGTCACTCCCAGGCAGCTTGTGCAGATCCCAGCTGCAAATCCCAACTGCCACCATCAGCACAGCCCACCGGCAGCGAGGCGAGCATGCAGAGCAAGACCAAAGGCAAGCAGTTACCTCTGCAGACAGTCCCATTTTCTACCGACTCATAGCCCGCCCGGCACATGCAGCGGCCGATGGGCACCAGCCACTCGCCATCCCCGTTGCAGTACAGCTTGATTGGCACATCCACCTCCTCTGCGTTGGTGATGCACGTCCCCCGGGCTGCCACCAGTGAGGTGCTCTCTGCTCCTGACAGGGTTTCTTGGAAGACTGCCCCATTCTGGATCACGCGGGGACACTTGCGGTAGAAGACACGGACGGCAATCAAGGACATGCAGCCTCCATAGTCCTGGAAGGCCAGGTAGAAACCATTCTTGGAGACAGGCCCAAAACTGCGCACCTCGGTGTTAATCTTCATCACCCGTCCACCTAGGTCCACCTGCGAGAAGCTCTCATCGGCAGCAATTGTGTCTACCTTCATCCAAGGATTCTCCATCCAGTTAGGAAAAGTCTTGGTGGCTGAGTCAAAGTCCGACTCGAAATAGTAGAGGTTAAAAGTCTCCTTACAGGAGCCTGGGACATTAGGGATGCTGCTGCAGTCCCGGACAGAAAATTTCATCTCCACATGGATGCGGTGCGCTCCTCGCCTCCGGATGTACTTGGTCCGGAGCCAGTTGTTTTGGCTGGATTCAAAGACGTTGCACACCTGGTAGGTGCGAATCGTGTTCATGTTCTCATCGTACCCGCTCACCTCCTCCCACTGTGGACAGGACACAGAAAGTCAAGGGGCTGCACCAAACTGATGTTTCCCACCCACCTCACCTCTTTGCAACCCCACTGTGTGCCAAGAGGGTAGGCTCTGCCTGTAGCAGCTACAGCACACAGTGCCTATCCCACCCGCAGGCACCCGTCACTGCCCAGCACCTCGCCCTGATACAGCTCCAGCACCACCCTGCAAGCACCCCGTACCTACGTGCCTCCGTCCTGTTCCGGCAGGGTTAGACCCACACTGCACACCAGGCAGGCTCCGCACCGTGAGGACAAGGTGGCCGAAGCCCTCAGCAGAGCTCGGGACTATCTCACTGCCAGCAGCACCGTGCTCCATGCCTGGATTTATGGTAAAGCATCTCTGCCGGGCAGCAGGGCACGGTGGGGCCATGCACCTCCTCTGCAGGCAGTAATGTCTTTAGCAGGGGCTCTCGCCCGTGGGCTGCACTGTACGGTAGAGCCTCCCAGCAAAGTAACACGATGCCTTTAGCAGATGTATTCCCACTGGTGCCACTACAGTTACAGACATGGCAGACAGGACCCGCTTTCTCAGGAGCATGTAACGCAGCCGTAAAACCTCCTCGCCGGCTGTAGCCTGAGCACTGGTGCGGGCAGCCGGCTGTGTGATGGGCCAGTAGCCAGCGGCGTCTCCCCAGAGGCAGGAGGGAAGGTTTCTGGAAGCCTGGCTGACCCCACTGCGTACGCAGAAAAGGGAGATGCTCGGCTCGATCCTGCTGGTAGCCCTCATCCCTGCCCCTTCAAGAGCCAACATGCTTTGGGGGTCCCTCGTGCAGGTGTGCACAGGACCCAGCCCCAGCTGTCCTAAACTGGATCTATGGGATGTCCTATGAGCCATGGCATGACAGTAACATCCTTCCTGGCAAGACGGCTCAGAGCTGACATATGTCCCCATGGGAAGCTCAGCCAACCTCCCCCCAGCTGACTAATGGCTGACTGCCAGCTCTGGAGGAGTGTCCGCAGAGCTCAGGGCTGCTGTGACACCTCCTGGCCCTGTCCAGCTCCCTGCCCTTTCCCCAGGCTGTCTTTTTCCAAATCCTTCAGTGCTTGTTGTTGTCTCCATCCTTTGTAGGGTGGGAGACTTCAGGGCAGGTGATGCACCAGGCAAGGGCAGAGCTGCAGCCTGTATCTGGCCACCACTCCCCTGCAGTGTGTGACAACGGGAAAGGGTCTTTGTGGGGGAAGAACCTTTCACTTGGTTCACCAGAGCATCTCCCCCAGCCCAGACCTTGCCAGGGGGCAGAGCATCCTCCCCATGCTGCTCCCTCCCCACCTGGAGCACCCTGGTGATGCTGGCAGTAGGGACCAGGGTCCAACTAGCATGTGACACCGTCACAGCCAGCTGGAACGGCTTCTCATGAACTTGTTCATAAACCTGCTCAAGTGCAAGCCGAGCTGTTTCCCACGGACATGAAACCCTGAGCACAACCCTGCCCTGGATGCAGGATCGCAAGACACAGGGCTGGGCAGCAGCGCAGCCAACGCTTCCAGCCCAGATCCAGCATCAGTGCCAGGACTGAGGTCCGCAGGGAAAATCCTGCAGGAGCTGAGCACCCCCAGCCCTCAGCCTGCAAACGGCCTTACAAGGGCATCCAGGACTGCAAGAGGGAGGCTCACGAGATAGGAGACAGATTGCTCCTCGCACATCAAGGCTAACAGCCCAACAGAAGGCTGTCAGGAAGATCCCCAAACAGCTCCAACCACTTTTCATTGGCAGTGGCTGCAAATCTGCTGCCATCACTGGGGGAGGAGGAGAGCATCCTTGCAAAGCGCAGAGGGAGCATTTGCTTTATTTTCCAGAAATAAATTTGGCGTGGTAGCGGAAAATTGTGGGATCTCCCCGGTTTTTAGGGCACCGGTTAGGAGGGGGGTGAAGGAATCAAAGGACAAGGCACAGGGAAGCAATTCCTTCCCCTGCTCTGCCTCTGATGTGGCTCTCCCTCGCCTGGACCACTCCTGACACCCCCTCTGAAACAGCGTGTCAGCCCCCAAGACCCAGGGATGCCCAGTATCTGCCCCGTCCTCACCCACACCTGCACAGCCCTCAGGGAGGGCTCAGGACATGAGCTTGAAGAGCTCAGCCTGGCCAGGCAGCAGCAGCACGTGGTAGAAGGAGAGTCTCTCCAGCTTGGGGATAAACAGTAGATGGTGGGGACAGGGCATGGGGAGACCTACGAGCAGCACAGGAGCTCCACAGCCAGGGAAAAAGCAGCTGTTTGGGCTTTCAGCTCATTAACAATCACCAAAGAAGCAATAAACAGGAGAAGCACCCAGCAGCTTTTGTCTTCCAGGTGATACTGGCTGCACCCCACCTTGCCGAAGCCAAGCCACCCACGGTAAGATGCCCTGCCTTGTCCTGATAGCGGGCACGAGGCCGCACTGGGAGAAGCTGTGAGGGCACTGCAGCATCGGCACCTGTGACGTGCGCAGTGCAGGGCACGACGTGTGCTGCATCCCCCCCAGGAACCTGCCCGGAGGTGGGGACAGGAGGCGATTTCCACCAGCAACACTGGGGCTGCTCTGGACTTTCAGACAGGCATCTCCATCCTGCTGGGGATGGGGGACCTGGGAGCACCCTGGGGGCCAGGCTGACTGCTCAGGACCCCCAGCATCCTCCTGCATCCCTGCAGCCACGAGCAGGGGACTCCAGAGCTTCCTTTTCTCAGCTGGGAGAGAAAGCCACCCCTGTGCACCAGCCCCTGTGCTTCCTCAACGCTTAGTTAGAAGCCTCTCCCTTTCTCCTCGCTCTCTAATTAACATGCCGGGAACTCAAAAGAAGAAGGCAGCACAATAATACAGGGAGACGGCTTCCAGCAGGCCCAGGCCTCATTACCACGGGGCTGGGGAGCCGGGAGCAAGGCATGCTTTACATATGGAAACACTGCAAACAAGAAAGGCTGGGCGAGGAGAGAAAAAGACTTGACCTCTGCTCCCACCTATTGTGCACCCGTCATCTC